TCCATGTATAAATATTTACTTGTTATGTCTGGTCTGAATGCACAAGCCTACCAAGCTTGCAAAAACATTTCTTTATTGAGCTGTGTCTAGACGTTTAAAAAGGAAAAAAAAAAATCAACTGTAGTCCATTTTTTTTGTTTGTTTCTAGTTGAGCTGTGTGTGAATGCTTTTTTTTTTGTTTGATTATTTCACTTATCTTTAAAGACAAAATATTTGCACAAAAAACATTTTGTTTAAAGATCTGCAATATAAATATATAAATATATATTAAAAATAAGAGAAAGTGTATGTGTAAGGAGCAGGAGTATTTTTGTATTAGAAGAGGCCTATTCAAAAAAAAGTTGTTTTCTGAACTAGAAGAAAAATGGCAATTTTTTGAGTGCCAACTCAAAAAGCGTGTATTACATTGTAAAAAAACAAAAAACAAAAAAAAAAATCAAAAGCAGGGGTTTAGAGTTATTTATATAAATGTTGAAATTTTGCACTATTTTTTAATATAAATATGTCAGTGCTTGTGTTGGTCAAAGCCTCTATCATGTCTACCATGAACCTGTTAAGGGATGTATGTCGAAGTGAAGAACAAAGTAGCTGGAAGGGGGTGGAAAACCGCTGAAGTGGAGATGCCAGCCCTGGGAGGAGCGGTGAGCGAGTCTGCATCTTATGCAAATCCTTAATTTCCAGAGTCCCTGCGCGTGGCCGCCGACAGTCACGGCTTTATACATTCCCTACAAAGCAAGAGGAGTTGGTGTATGTCTGTATGTCATCTGGTAGGATTATTGGAGTAAAAAGGTAAAAGAAAAACTCCCTGCTTCTGAGTCAGTAATGACTGAAGCAGCCAAAAATTACTTGATTTTTCTTTTTTTTTTTTTTTTTTTTTTTTGGACAACCTCTAACTTTTTGGAGGGGGGTGGTGGGGATGAGAATAAACTTCTGTGTCTGAAGGAACAAAGTGTTTTTTGGTTTATTTCTTTCAATGTTCAACTGAAGGGCCCTATTTGGAGCTAAAGTGCTGATTATAGAAGTTAATGTGAGTAAATGGTAATGTACCCACCGGCTGCCTTTCAGCTGGGGTTTAAATACCTCATTGAAAATACGAGCTGAAAAGCGTGGTGGTGGTGAAAGTCGTTTTCATTTTGTATTAACCTCCCAAACCTCTATTTGGCATAAACGGGCGCAGCCCTGTCTCGCAGCTCTGCCGTCCCCCGGGCTGCCTCTGGTCACCGCTGTTTTTTACTTTATTATCCTAGCTAAAGAGGCATCAGATACAGTAGATGGAAATGAATTTGCTCCTGTGATGTATTAATTAAAGGCTAAAGAAATATGCTTAATGCTTTAGAAGCAAACCCCCTTTACCTCTTCTGAAGATGCCCTCATCCACAGCAGCACGGTCCTACCTGCCCTCCCGCCCGCCGGGTGTTGTGCGTCTTTAATTTATCTTGGTTTCAGAAGCATTTTGTCTTACTATGCTATTGTTTACATTTTTATATTGCGTAGGTGTCCGGTAGGTGTTTTACCCTCACGGTGAATTTGTACGTGACGGAGCGAGCGAGTGAGAAACCTGAGAGCGCGCGAGAGGGAAAGCAAAAGGGAAAAAAACTGTTCTCGGTCCCGTCTCCGGGGCCGGGAGAGCATCTCTCCGAGCGCGAGGAAGGGTCCGTAGGGCAACCACAGAGAGCGAAGCTTTTACAAGGAGGTGTGATTTCATTTTCTGCAGGATGCTATCTAGTAGAGTGACATAAATGAAAGATATAAAGGCAATAACTATTGTTTTTAAGCAACTTTTCTATTACTTGAAAAAAAAAACAAACCATGAGAACGGTTTTGAAGTTCTGACCATTTGAACAATATTTATATATATTTTAAAGAAGACGATGAATAGCCGAACTTGAAGTTTGATCATTATTTTTTGCTTTTTTATTTTTGCCTGGAAATAGTCCTGTACCTTCTCAGTATTTCAAACTGCTTTTCCACAGCTCTTGAAATCTTCATAGCTTTGCAGTCATGTAACCTAAATTTTGATGCCGAAAAAAAAAAAAAAGCCACAAAAAAAAAAGTCATGCAAAGGAATAAATCTAGTTTGTCATGAAAGGTACAAAACCGATGAATTTATATGAGTTTTTAAGATGTATCTTTCCTTTATGTAACATGTCTATTTAGTGCCTTATTAAAGAAACGGTAACCCTCCCTTTTTAGAGAGGGGAAAACAAAATCGTCACTAGCGCCACAAGTAACCAGCGTCTGGTCTCTTGCTCCTTTGGACCTTGCATTCGATTTTCCAGCCCCGTCT